CTGGAACACTCTGGAATGCTCTGTACATCAGACAATACTACACTCCCTTAAACAAAGTGGTTCTTAAAGTGGTTCTTTAGTGAAGGCAATGGCTACATATCTTATAAAAACCTATAAACCTCTCTGCCTGAGCTCTAGATAAGAAAAGCTGAGCTCCATGAAAAAACCCGAACAATCTAGAACAAACCCAATAAAACTACATAAAATTGTCTGCAAAGTTCTAGAGTACTCTCTAGACAAGCTAAGCTTTGTGGAAAAACCTGAACTTTCTAGAACAACCATCAAGACCATATCTTAAATCAAGAACATTTGTATCTCTGAAATGCTCTAGAAAGTCCAGCACCTAATCTTTAAAACTTTCTAGAGCACCAGAATGCCACAAACCATCAAGAGCATGTCTATAATCTAGAACATTTATAACTCTGGAACTCTCTAGAATGTCCAGCACCTGAACTTTGAAACGACCCATAGTTGTAGGACATTCTAGAATGCTTAAAAACAGCTACAACACTCTAAAATACTCTGTAGATCAGCCAATTCTACAGAGTTCCAGATTCTATGCAGCACCTGGAATGATCAAGAACAGAGTAGCATATCTATAATCTAGAAAGCCCATATCTCTAGAACGTTCCACAATCACCAGTAAAAACCCATTAAAAACTCTGCCCAAAGTTCTAGAGTACTCTCTAGACAAGCTAAAGTTACAGAAAAGTTGAGCTTTACAGAAAAAATGGACGTTCTACAGCAAACCATCAAGACCATATCTTCGCAATTCTCTAGAACGTCAGCACCTAAACTTTAAAATGTACTAGAACACTAGAATGCCACAAACCATAAGAGCATATCTTTAATCTAAAATATTAATATCTCTGGAACACTCTAGATAGTCCAGCGCCTACACTTAAGAACATTCTAGAACACTAGAATGCCACAAACTGTCGAGAGCATATGTTTCATTTTTATTGAAAGAAGAACCACTATTCTAGAACACACCTGCCTATAATCTAGAGCAACAGAAAGAGGATTGCAATATAATAAAAATAGAAAACTCTTTGAAGACTCTCTGCCCTAGTTTTACAGAACACTCCAGAACGCTTCTAGAACATGCTCAAGACAAACTTTCAACAGCATACCTATAATCTAGAACATCCGTATCTCTAGAACATCCAAATGTCCTACAGCACACAGTGACTGATGAACATAAAGCCCCAGTCCAGAAAAGCTGTAATTTGTGGTTTAGTTTTTTTAGTGTTGGCTTTTAAACCAGTACGAGGTGGAGGAGCGCGTGCAGTGTGCGCTACATGTCTGTGCTGACGTGGAGTTAATTCAGCGCATTAATTTCTCTGTGTCTCTCTGGCTGTGGTCCTGGGAGGAAGAGTGCCAGAGCTTTTCTCTGCACTGAGCAGCGATGCCTGAGTGCACTTTTACTCTATCGCCTCCGGCCAATTTTGCACCTGTCGAAGAGAATTAAACTCCCAATTTCTCCATTCGCTCTGACCTGCGTCAGGAAACTGTTTCATAGAACTGATTTGGCAATTCATCACTGGAGGTTTATAGCGAGAAAGTCATATTTAAAAGGCCCGTATCATGGAAAATCGAACGTCTGATGAGCTGTGAGAACATCCCTAAACTTTCAAAATATACTGTTAGCTTCTCAATCCATACTTCTTCATGGTTGTGATGTCACAAGCAGAAACACAATTTCATATGACCATCCACTTAGTCTGATGTCCTTGAGAAGTTCAGTTTACATGTAATAATTTCTTCTACACATTTCAGCCTGGACTGCTTTTTAAACTGTGCAACCAATCAGGCCAGAGACCATTTACATATGTCAGTCTTAAAGGCGCAGGAACGAAAATGGCCTGTTAAATTCTTAAGGATTAAAGAAAGGTTGAAAAACAGTCACGTAAAAAATTAATTTTGCCTATTTTTGGTACACAAAAGATATAAAAAAGGAAAAAAATTCAGTCTAAGGCAAATGTAGAATACAGTTGCGCGCAAAAGTTTACACACCCCCGATCAAATTACGTGTTTTGTTGAATTTCTAAGTGACTTATTTGCTTAATCTATTGGGAAAAAAATACATATCATATAAAAGGAGCCATAACTTTTGTACAGGCCAAACTTTTTTGTTCCAATACGTTAAATTCATCAAATTCATAAAAGTAACTGTGTAGTAAAATGTGCAGAAGTGTGTTTCTCTGTAGAGCCCATGTCAAATACAAGGCCCGCAGGCCAAGTCAGGCCTGTGGCACAATCCTATCCAACCCACAGAACAATTTTAATTTTCTATTAATATTAGCCTGTTTTACAATTAATTGCACTACAACCCCCAGCATGCACTGCTATGTATGAGTGGTCTGACACCACTACCCCAACAACAGTGTATAGGACAGCAGTTACACCACAAAAAGGAAAGTTCAAGCAAACAGGCAGGTGTAAAAAACCTACCTCCTGGGTACATTTAAAGGGGTTTAATGGTTATGTGGCCTATTTATTATTTTTTAATTTTAATTGTTTTTTAAATAGTTTCAGTATTTGTGTAATATTTCAAGGTCTGCCACAAGTTTGGGCATATTTTGCATAAACAGTGGCCAGTTTGGGTCATCATAATCACAATGTTGATGAAAAATGAAATAAAACATAGGCGTTCTCTGACCCACGGAGATTTTTTAACATGGCCCTTTTAGTAGTTAAGAACATGTCATTTGACCGGGGTGCACAAACTTTTGCCCACGATTGTACAGCCTCTTCAAAGTTAAAAGTTAAAAAAGTTTCAGGGCCAGGTTCACAGCAGAAGGGTTTAAGAGTGCTTCTCCTTTTCCTGGAGTTTGTAATGAGTGCTGGTGATACCCAGCGTGTGGAGCCAGCATGGAGCTGCTCTAATGGTCAGGAAATTTATGCTAGTGCCCAACATGTCAAACCAAACTGTGTGAGTTAGCATGACCTTTACCATGTAGGACTGCATCACATAACACAAGACACTAAATAAGGGCATGTTAGCAGTTTATGAGACACACAAAGGAAACGCCCTGGGGGCGGGGTAGTGAAACTCTATACATTACACGAAATGCAGCGCTAGAAACACACACTTCATCCTAAAACGGGTCCAGATGGAGAAAAAACATTACTGCATATTAAAAACTACATAATAACACTACATACAGCACTGTGCAAAAGTCAGACACCACCCTTTATTTATTTAATCATCAACTGCCATAAAGTACGTTACTGATTTAGCATCAGTAAAAAAAGCAGAAAACAAGTGTAACAGAAAATTACAGCCTCAACCAAACACAATATTAAATGATTCAGTATTTACTGTGTCCACTCTTTACCTTTATTACAGCTTCCATTGTTTTCAGGAGACTCACTTTCAGTGTTTCAGAGAAATCTGCAGGGATGTTTTTCACACCTCCACAGTTCAGTCTTGAAGCTGGTTTAACGTTTTCTGCTTCTCACAATCCAAACAACCCCAAACACATTCAGTGATGTTGAGGTCTGGACTCTGGGGTGGTCAGTCCACTGTTCAGCTTCTTTGTCTGATGTGTCTCCTTTTCTCAGTAAGAGCTTCTTAACAGCTACACATCCTTTCAGACTCATAGTGCTGAGTGTCTCACAGTGGAAGGATGGACAGAAACTCCTGTAGATGTTTCGTCTCAGAGATGAAAGCTTTAAGTGCTGTTTATCTGATGGGGGCAGTTTTGGTGTCTAACAGCTCATCCAGGTGGTTGTTAGGAGTCTTATTTTCTCTGTAGCTTTTAATCTTTTTTTGAACTCCAGTTTAACTCTTGCCTTTTCACTTATTTTCTTTTGACTTTTTGCTTCCATATGCAAGTGAATTATCTCATATCTGATCTCCTTTAGCCACTTTAGATGCACATGAGAAACAACTCTGAAGGCAGCTGAGGTGAGTTTGGGTAGCTGCTTGTGTGAATGTTAGTGTCTGTTTTAAGGGGAACATAATGTCAGTGAGATCTTTATGAGCAGCTTTTGTTGGGAGGACACAGCTGTAACTGGTTGGCTTTAAGACTGGAAGGATGGAAGAGTTAAAGTGGCAGCAGGATGTGAAGAGTGGACTAATTAAACACTGAGTTATGTATAGTTTTCTGTTTATATTTGTTTCCTGCTTTATTCTGACACTGGAAAATGAATAACATGTTCTTAATGTTTGTTCAAATGAAATTTAAAAAATTAAACAAACAAAATGATGGTCTATATGCACAGTGCTGTACATTGTTGCAGTTTTTTCATTAACTTCCATATATATATATATATATATATATATATATATATATATATATATATATATATATATATACATAGATATAGATATATGGGCACTTCATTTAAAACACCTCCTTGTTTCAACACTCATAGTCCACAGCAGACACAGCGGTGATACAGTGTCCACTCCACTGTCCACTCTATTAGACACTCCTACCTTGTCAGTCCACCTTGTAGATGTAAAGTCAGAGACAGTAGCTCATCTGCTGCTGCACAGTTTGTGTTGGTCATCTTCTAGTCCTTCATCAGTGGTCACAGGACGCTGCCCACAGGATGCTGTTGGCTGGATATTTTTGGTTGGTGGACTATTCTCAGTCCAGCAGTGACACTGATGTGTTTAAAAACCCCGGCAGCACTGCTGTGTCTGATCCACTCAGACCAGCACAACACACACCAACACACCACCACGACGTCAGTGTTACTGCAGTGCTGAGAATGATCCACCACCCAAATAGTACCTGCTCTGTGGTGGTCCTGTTGGGGTCCTGACCACTGAAGAACAGGGTAAAAGGGGGCTAACAAAGTATGCAGAGAAACAGATGGACTACAGTCTGTAACTGTAGAACTACAAAGTGCACCTATACAGTAAGTGGAGCTGATGAAATGGACAGAGTGCAGAAACTATGACGTGGTTTTAATGAAGTGGCCGGTCGGTGTAATTATATACACACACACTCTGTAAGTCATTCTAAGTAGTTGTACTGTGTTACCTGGCTGCTCTGCACGTGTCCGTTAAAGTCGTTGTTTCTAGGCGGTAGGAAGGATTCGTGCGTGATCGTTTTCTCCGTCCGTGGCATGCTGGGGTCTCCGTCCTCCACGCCGTTGGCTTTCCGCACGCACAGAACCTTGCGGAAGCTCTGTTTGAAGTTGTCGGACAGGAAGCCGTAGAGGATGGGGTTGGCGCAGCTGTTGGCGTACGACAGGATGACGGCGAAGAAGTAAATGCCCACCATCAGGCTGTTCTCCGGCAGGATGACGACGAGGTTGACGATGTTAATGATGAAGAACGGCAGCCAGCAGAGAACGAACACCACCACGATCACCACCACCATGCGCGTCACCTTCCGCTCGGAGCGCCTCCGCTTGGTGAATCCGGCACGCGCGCCCGATGACTTCACCTTCAGTCAAACAATTAACATTATTTAATTAAATGATAGCACATTTTAATTACACTGGAATTTAAAGTACTTTACAAACTGATCTAAGACAAAGACTAAAGCCCCAGTTTAGGCGGTAGTTAGTTACCTGGCTAGCTAGAAAAATCAATACAATACAATTGTGCCTCTGTTTAATACATTTTTTGTTAAAGCAAAAATAAGGAGTACTTGAAAATCTGTCTTACATTAATATGATTATGATAATGTTTCCATTTTCTGTTTATTAGAGTATTTAACATTATAAAAGTACAATATTTCAGACTTTACAGTGGCCTGATCAATTCAAACCATCTTCTTAGCTGCATATAAACACCAAACAAAAGCTGTGCTTTATAGTGCCTCATTATAACACGCTAGCCAAAAGCTAATATGATAGTCCCAAGCTAATGCGCTCCTACAAGCTAACATGCTAGCCACAATCCAGCATAACAATATGATACACACTGATACAATACGATGCATTATAATGCACAGTATGTTGTACTGTGAGACCCCTACTGGCTACTTGATTAGCCAGCTAGCTGAAGGGCTAATGAGGTAGCTTTTTAAGCAAAAATAAACGGTTTCAGAAAAAGGTTTGCTGTGGTTACATAACTATGTTTAAAGTATGTAAGTATATCTCTGATACAATACAATATGATAGGTAATGACACAGTACAGTGCACCATGAAATACAGTATGTATTGTTACGCTCCAAATAGCTAGCTGATTAGCCAGATAGCTGAAGTCTTAGTGAGGTGGCTAATAATACGTTTAAGTGAAAAAATTGTTGGCAAAAAGTTTCAGTTTTGAAATGTTAGTAGTTACATATTTAAAAGTACATAATTGTAGCGTAAAAATACTCCTTTGGCTAGCTAATGCTAATGCTAATAGCTTGGAGGTGAAGCTATGCTTGTCCTTAAACCTTTTATTTTGAAAGAGCCATTTGTATTTGCACAAGCAGGGGCTTCTGGCTGGGGCTTCCCATTGTCTGTCTGCGGGCCTACTGGGAAAGGCTACAAGTACAACAACCAACCAGTTAGAAAATAATTAAATACCACAGTAGAAGCAGGAAGCAATGGACAGATAGTACCAAAACAGAACAAAATAGAGGTCAAAAGCACAGAATGAGAAAAGCAGCAGAACTCAAAAGAGTTTACAATGCTTAAAAAGGTTCACCTTGACGATGATGAGCAGGTAGCACATGCATATGACCAGCAGTGGGCCGAAGAAGCCGAGGATGGCCGTGTAGAGGATGAAGGCCATCGACCAGACGTCCCGCGGCTCCGGCCAGCTCATGTTGCACGAGTAGAACGTGTCCTGGACATCAGAGAAGATGACCACTGGCAGAACGACCACGAAGGAGATGGCCCATACAGCGGCGCTGACCGCCTTAGCTACCCGCGGCCGGCGCCACCTGGTGGAGCGGATGGGATGCACGACAGCCAGGTAGCGGTCGATGCTCATGACCGTCAGGCAGAAGATGCTGGTGAACTGGTTCAGAGAGTCCGCCGTCATGACCACGCGGCACAGGAAGGAGCCGAACGGCCAGTAGGAGAGCACGTTCTGCGTGGTGAGGAACGGAAGGCCCAGGATGTAGAGTTCGTCGGCCACGGCTAAGTTCAGGATGTAGATGTTGGTGACCGTTTTCATCTTGGCGTAGCGCAGGACCACGTAGATGGCCAGCGTGTTTCCGATGAGTCCCACGATGAAAACGGTCAGCGAGATCACGGCGGTTACCATAGTGCTGCTGCCCTGGAATGGCATGCTCTGGTCTGAAACATTGGAGGAGAAATTTCCCATGAGTCCCGGCATCCTTGGCACCGCTGTAGTTCCCAGAATTCCTGTTGCGTTCAGGGTCCCCAGGAGGGGCCCCTCCCATCCGGATCTGGCCCCCGGCTCCATTCCTGATCCAGGAGGGAAGACAGAGCCAGGGACGGAGGGGGCGATGAATGGAGGAATCAGAACGAGCGGAGAAAGGATGGAAAAGTGACACGTCAGTGGGTCTTGGACGCCCACGGGCTGTTGTCAGAGTTTGGACGCCTGGGCGCTGTGAAAAGAGAGAGAGAGAGAGAGAAGGAGAGAGAGAGAGAGAATGAGAGTGAATTAGACAGAATCAGAGACAAAGTGTGAGTTCAAAAACACCCACTGCACAGACTGTACCTGCTTTCGATGCAGCGTTAGTCAGCGTGGTGATTTAGTGGAGGTGGCTCTGGCTGCTTTATGCATGTATTTGTAGACCAAATGGCATCTTCTGCAGACTCATCTCATCTCAGAGACCCCCTGTGGTGTCAAAGTGATGCCCAAAAAGTGGGGTGGGGTCATAAACAACCTTGTATTGTTCTCTGGAGTGGAGCATAGCTTTTTATTGCTTGCTATATATATATATATAGGACAAAGCCTGATATCTCAAAATAGAACTTTACAGGAGGAGGAAAAACATTCTGAACTTTAAATGGAAGTTAATGGAACCGGATGTTTTTCCAACTAATTTTGGAGCATTTCTATTGGTCCAAATATCATGAAATTTTAACACAAGGGAAATGACAGCTAGTTTTTTTGGATTCTGTAAAAAACAGGATTTTTATATATATATATATATATATATATATATATACAGATACACGCATATGTAGATATATGTAAATACATATATGAATATGCATGCAAAGCGTATTTGCTGCTCATATCAGTGAATTTGTCGAGTCATTTATTCTCAGATATACTTCATCAGTCTTAAATCTGACTGATGACTATTTTACCAGAGCAGTAACGAAGCTAAACCGCTGGCAAACCTAAAAACAAAACATTTTAAGGCTGATTTTCTCGTAATTTTGAACAACGAAGCCTCCAGCCGCTGTTGACCAACTACTTCTCAACAGAACTAAACCTGAAGATCCTAAATCTCCTTTTCGCTCTCGCTTCTGTTGAAAGCCGAGCACTAAACGGACACAAAGCTGGTGAAAATGAAGCAGGAGACGCTGGCGTTACCTGCCCGCTCCTCGCCGGTCGCTCGCAGACCCTCGGGCTTTTAATTCTCCTCAAAACAACAGCAGCCTCGACGGAGAAACTCCGGTCTGCCTCACAGCCCCGAGCAGCGCTTCAGCTCCGAGGCAGTGACAGCGCATCGCTGTGTGATAAGACAAATAAACCCAGTCAAAAAACCCAGCCTGACGTCCTCTCCGGCCAGCGCGAGGCTCCCGGAGCTCCAGCTCTTTATCAGCGCTCAGACCTGTAGAGCCGCATTCTCAGAGTCCGGTTTCTCTCAGATTTCTGCGCTACAAAGTTAAACCAGGGCGCTAAACGCACCTCCTGACTCCCAGAGGCGCAGAGACTGAGGGAGTAGTCCTCTACATCCAGAGCCCTGCTGCTGACATCCTATATAAATCAAAATAATGCGTGGCCACGCCTTATTAACGCGTGGGAACGAGATTCTAATGCGGGGCCAGGACTTAGGAAGGCATGACCACCACTTACGCGGAGCTCTTCAGGTGACATCCCATATAAACCAAAATAATGCGTGGCGATGACTCAGTAAGGCATGGGAACAAGATAATTAGGTCGTGGCCACCACTTATATGGAGCCCTGCTGGTGACATCCCATATAAACAAAAATGATGCGTGGCCACGACTTAGTAAGGCGTGGGAACGAGATAATTAAGTCGCGGCCACGACCTCATAAGGCGTGAGAAAGAGATCATGCCTTACTAAGTTATGGCTACAACTTAACTATCTTGTTCCTATGCCTTACTAAGTCGTGGCCACGCAATAATTTTGTTTATATGGGGATGTCACCAGCAGGGCTCCGAAAGTAAGGCATGGGAAAGAGATCATGCCTTACTAAATAGTGGCCACGCATTAGGATCTCGTTCCCATGCCTTACTAAGTTGTGGCCATGACTTAATTATCTTGTTCCCATGCCTTACTAAGTTGTGGCCATGCACTGGTTTTATTTATACCGGATGTCACCAGTGGGGCTCCACAAGTAAGGCATGGGAAGGAGATCATGCCTTACTAACTCGTGGCCACAAATTAGGATCTTGTTCCCACACCTAACTCAGTCATGGCCACACATTATTTTTATTTATACAGGATGTCACCAGCGGTGCTCCGTAGTAGTAACGAGATCATGCCTTACTAAGTAGTGGGCACACATTAGAATCTCGGTCCCATGCCTTACTAAGTCATAGCCATGACTTAACTATCTTGTTCCCATAATTTACTAAGTCGTGGCCACACATTATTTTTATTTATACAGGATGTCACCAGCGGGGCTCCGTAGTAGTAACAAGATAATGCCTTACTAAGTAGTGGGCACACATTAGAATCTTGTTCCCATGACTTACTAAGTCGTGGCCACGCATTATTTTTGTTTTATATCAGCGGGGCTTCGTAGAAAATACTCAGCCAGTGCTGAATCAAACACTACAAGTGCTGAATCAAACACTACAAGTGCTGAATGAACAGCTACTGAGTTTAATTATGAGTTTATGAGTCCACTGACTCCACACAGCTGGATTAACATTACCACTATTACCTGTAACAACATATGAACAATGTTAAATTGAACAGCGTCTTGTTGGATTAGCATCTTTAGTGCTGGGTTGTGAAACACCTACAGTGTTGAATTAGCATCTGAATCTAACAGCTATAAAGTGTTGAATTAGTGTCTACAGAGCAGGTAAAGCAGCTGAAGTGTTGAATGAATGTCTACTGTGTCGAATACCCTACTAGAAAAACCAGCATAGACCAGCATATCAGTGCTGTCGGAACAAAACCTCGTATCTCCAAAACGGTGACTTTACAGGAGAGGAAAAAAAACATACTCTACTTTTAATGTAAGTCAATGGAACCGGAATTTTTTCCAAGTCATTCTGGGCCGTTTCTTTTAGTCCATTCATCATGAAATTTACATACAATAAACAACAGGCATTTTCAGATTATGTCAAAAACTGAAAAATGACAAAACTGAAGATACGAGGTTTTCTTCTGACAGCAGCGATATGTTGTGTTTTGGAGGCTGGTATGCTGGTCAACCAGCATGACCATGCTGGGTGATGAGCTTAGCCAGCACCAGACCAACATAAACCAGTTTGGATCAGCATAGAATTCATGCTGGTCTGTGCTGTTTTTACCAGCAGGGTTAAACAGCTGAAGTGTGGAATTACCATCTACAGTTTAATGTAAGTCCAGCTGGACAACAGCAGCCTAAACACTGAGAGTGAATTCAGCACTGAGGAGGAGAAAAAGGGGAAAGGAAGACTAGAAAGAGCTCCGACACACATTCCACTTACGCAAAGAGTAACTCGAGTGCGCACAAACCACCGAGAGAGAGAGAGAGAGAGAGAGAGAGACAGACAGACAGAGAGACACAGAGAGACAGAAATAGAGAGACAGAGAAAGAGGCAGACAGGGAGACACAGAGACAGAGAGAGAGAGAGAGAGAGAGAGAGAGAGAGAGAGAGAGAGAGATAGATACCTGCGCTCTGAGTTGTGCTGAATCCTGGTGTTAAATTCCCTCACAGCTTCGTCTGAACGTGCGTGCTGTAATCCAGATTAGAGCGCAGCAGCGATGTGCACATCTTCTTCAGCTCCTGGATTATCGTTGTTAGCGCTGCTCACTTTAGGACATTCCTGCTCACCACAGAGTGAGGAGCGTGTGTGAGCCTGGGTTAGGTGTACAGGGAGAGAGAGAGAGAGAGAGAGAGAGAGAGAGAGAGAGTGTCTTGCTGTGTGAGTGTGCTTGTCTTGCTATCCTTGTGGGGACCACATGTCCTTACAGTGATATGACAACATGATGTTTTTGCTCAAGTGAGGACATTTGGCTGGTCTCATGTTGTTTTCGCTCCAAATTACTTTTTCTGGGAAAAACTAAAAGAGCGGAAAAATTGCCTTCTAACTGTTCCAATATGCTTTTTTAAACTACAACCCACTGATAAACCCTTATATACTTTTTGGGCAGGATAGATTTACACTGAGAGGCGGGGTGATGTCATTATTATCAGAATATCTCAGCCATTTTAGTCCCATCTGTATGCACCATTTCAGTAACTTTTTACTGAGCCCTGATAGTAAACATTAAAAAAAAACATGAAAATAATCCCAGATTATTAATCCTGTACCATAAAACAAATCATGGTAATATCCCCACATTATGTTAAACCTATATTACAAAAACAACCGTAGAGATCACTACACGTGATATTAATCCAATGCTATAAAATGAACCATAGAAATAATCCAAGATTATATTACATGAACCATTGAAATAATCCCTGGTTATATTAATCTCATGTTATAAAATGAACCATAGAAATAATCCCAGATTATATTACATGAACCATTGAAATAATCCCTGGTTATATTAATCTTGTGCTATAAATGAACCATAGAAATAATCCCAGATTATATTACATGAACCATTGAAATAATCCCTGGTTATATTAATCTTGTGCTATAAATGAACCATAGAAATAATCCCAGGTCGTATTAAATGAACCAGTTTGTATTAATCCCAGGTTATAAAATTAACCTTAAAGATAATCATGGGTTATATTAATCCCATATTACGAAATGAACCATAGAAATAATCCCAGGTTATAAAGAGCAGAAAAACTGCCTTCTGGATACGGAGGTAAAGGTCAGGGTTCAATGGGGAGGTTCTTACAAGTAATGTGTGTGTGTGTGTGTGTGTGTGTGTGTGTGTGTGTGTGTGTGAGTGAGTGACATTTACTTTGCTGGATACATGTGAACAGGTTTTAGAAACGAGATGACTGAAGATATGAAGAATGAAAGAGCTTCTGTATAGATTGATATCAAGGCGCTCATGGGAGAGAGAGATACAGAGAGGGAGAGAGAGAGAGGGAGAGAGAGTGAGAGAGACAGAGAGGGAAAGAGAGAGAGAGACAGAGAGAGAGAGACTTTTATGTATATATATATATATATATATATATATATACACATATATATGCGTTCATTGGCCGATCCTTGTAGATGTAGAATTATAAAGAAAGTGTATCTTTAGAAAATGGACAGTGAGTGTAGATACAAGGCCAGTCATGCTGTCTCTGTCTA